GGGGGGGGGACAAGAGGGTGGGGGGGGACAATTTATTTACGACTTTATTCAAAGGACGGTTAGCGTTCACATCAAGCAGATTTGGTTCCTCTGGGAATCGAACCCTCACCTTGACGGTCTCGTTCCAGCACGGCTGCTTCACCTGGTAGTAGATGACGGAGTGGTACTCCGTCACGCCCTCGTAGCCCGCCCCCGGGAAGATGGCTTTCTGGAGGCCGACGACGGACGAAGGACGAAGGTTATCGCAAGAAACACAAAAAGAAATTAAAAAAATATATATATATATATATATGAATAAATAAATAAGTGTCAGAGTCGTTGGTTACAGAAGCAACAGTCGCATTCTGGACATGCTAGCAGATTAGCTCTGGAACATGCTAGCAGATTAGCTCTGGAACATGCTAACAGATTAGCTCTGGACATGCTAACAGATTAGCTCTTGACATGCTAACAAATTAGCTTTGGAACATGCTAGCAGATTAGCTCCGAATTAGATAACATATTAGTTCTGAACATGCTAACAGATTAGCTCTGAACATGCTAGCAGATTAGCTTTGGGACATGCTAACAGATTAGCTCCGGAGCAGCTAACAGATTAGCCCTGAACATGCTAGCAGATTAGCTCTTGACATGCTAACAAATTAGCTTTGGAACATGCTAGCAGATTAGCTCCAAACCAGCAAACAGATTAGCTCTGGAACAGCTAGCAGATTAGCTCCGAATTAGATAACAAATTAGATCTGAAGCAGCTAACAGATTAACTCTGAACATGCTAACAGATTACCTCTGAACATGCTAGCAGATTAGCTTTGGGACACATTAGCTCTTGACTAGCTAACAGAATAGCTCTGGAGCAGCTAACAGTTAAGCTCAGAAGCAGCTAACAGATTAACTCTGAACATGCTAACAGATTAGCTCCGAACCAGCTTAACAGGTTAGCTTTGGAATGCTAACAGGTTAGCTCTAAATCAGCTAACAGATTAACCCTGAACATGCTAACATATTAGCTCTGGAGCAGCTAACAGTTAAGCTCAGAAGCAGCTAACAGATTAGCTCTGGAGTAGCTAACAGGTTAGCTTTGGAGTAGCTAACAGAATAGCTCTGAAGTAGCTAACAGATTAGCCATGAACATGCTAACAGATTAGCTCTTGACTAGCTAACAGATTAGCTCCGAACAAGCTAACAGATTAGCTCAGAGCAGCTAACAGTTTAGCTCAGAAACAGCTAACAGATTAGCTCTGGAGCAGCTAACAGATTAGCTCTGAACATGCTAACAGGTTAGCTTTGCAGTAGCTAACAGATTAGCTTTGGAGTAGCTAACAGATTAGCTTGGAAGCCGCTAACAGAATAGCTTTGAACATGCTAAGAGATTAGCTCTGGACATGCTAAGAGATTAGCTCTGGACATGCTAACAGATTAGCTCTGGAGCAGCTAACAGATTAGCTCTGAACATGCTAAAAGATTAGCCCTAGAGTAGCTAGCAGATTAGCTCCAAACCAGCTAACAGAATAGTTCTGAATCAGCTAACAGATTAGCTTGGAACATGCTAGCAGATTAGCTTCGGAGCAGCTAACAGTTTAACTCTAAACATGTTAACACATTAGTTCCGATACATGCTAACACATTAGCTCCGATACATGCTAACACAATAGCTCCGATACATGCTAACACATTAGCTCCGATACATGCTAACACATTAGCCTCCTTCTTTCACCTCCACGTAATTGCCCTCGTCGTCGTGAACCGTCAGAGTCAGCTCCACGTTTTTGGGCGTCTTCTTTTTGCCCCGGTCGAACTCCCCCTGCACGAGGGTGACGTAGATGTCGTTCCTCACGTTCCCTGTAGAGAGAGAAAAAAAAAACAAAAAAAAAACAACCCGTCAGGCGAACGTCGCCCCCTGCGGGTGAGAAGGAGGAAAAAAAAAAAAAAAAAAAAATCTAAAAAACTCACCTGGTAAGATGATTTCGGGGAAGCCCATTTTCCGGACCACGGCCGTGCTGCGGACCACAAAGTGCGGGTAGTCCTTCCTGACCTGGGCCAGATCCCCCGGGAGAAGTTTGAGGGTCACGAACAACCCTGGAGGCAGAGAAGAGAATGACAACGGAAAAAAAAAAACAAAAAAAAAAACATTTATTTTTGCTGCAAACACAAAAAATGGGTCAACCATCCCTAAAATCACACAGAGAAGTAGGGCGTGAGAGTGGGGTCAACCATCCCTAAAATCACACAGAGAGTAAGAGAAGTAGGGCGTGAGAGTGGGGTCAATCATCCCTAAAATCACACGGAGAGCAAGAGAAGTAGGGCGTGAGAGTGGGGGCGACCATCCCTAAAATCACACAGAGAGTAAGAGAAGTAGGGAGTGAGCGTGGGGGGCGACCATCCCTTTATTTTTTTTTGTACTTTACCCTGGCCTTTATGATTGACCTCCCGCGTGGCGATGACTTTGTTGAAGACGGCGGTGAGCGGCTCGTTCTCTCCGCTGACCCGGGAGAGCGGCGACATGATGAGCTGCCGCTGACGGATGTACGTTTCCATGGCGATCCTGCGGGGAGGGGGCGGGGGGGGAAACAAGGAGGGACAATCAAGATGACGCACAAAAAATCTTGACGTTTGAAAAATGGGTTTTGTTGTTCGTAAATGTGAGATGGTATTAGCGTTAGCGTTAGCATTTTAATTTTTTTCAGGCTACAATTTTTCACAGAATACATTAAAAAAAAAAATAGTCGCAAAAAATCCCGGCGTTCGAAAATGGGTTTTGTCGTTCGTAAATGTGAAATAATATTAGTGTTAGCATTAGCATTTTAATTTCTTTCAGACTACAATTTTTCGCAGAAAACACTAAAGAAAATAAATTAAAAAAAAATAAATTGTCGCATAAAATCCCGACGTTCGAGAATGGGTTTCGTCGTTCGTAAACGTGTAATGACATTAACGTTAGCGTTAGCATTTTAATTTTTCACGGGCTACAATTTTTCGCAAAAAAACGCTACAAAAAAAAAAATTTGTCGCATAAAATCCCGACGTTCGAAAATGGGTTTTGTGGTTCATAAATGTGAGATGGTATTAGCGTTAGCGTTTTAATTTCTTTCAGACTACAATTTTTCGCGGAAAACGCTAAAAAAAATAAAATTGTCGCAAAAATCCCGACGAGAAATGATACTAGCATTAGCGTTAGCATTTTAATTTCTTTCAGGCTATAATTTTTCGTGGAAAACGCTAAAAAAAAAAATAAATATTCGCAAAAAATCCCGACATGAAATGATACTAGCATTAGCGTTAGCATTTTAATTTCTTTCAGGCTACAATTTTTCGCAGAAAACACTAAAAAAAAAAATTGTCGCAAAGAATCCCGACGTAAAATGATACTAGCGTTAGCATTAGCGTTTTAATTTTTTTCAGGCTACAATTTTTCGCAAAAAACACAAAAAATTGTCGCAAAAATTCCGACGTAAAATGATACTAGCGTTAGCATTTGCATTTTAATTTCTTTCAGGCTATAATTTTTCGCAGAAAACACTACAAGAAAAAAATTGCCGCAAAAAATCCCGACGTGAAATGATATTAGCGTTCGCATTAGCATTTTAATTTTTTCCAGCCTACAATTTTTCGCAGAAAACGCTAAAAAAAAAAAAAAAAATTGTCGCCAAAAAATCCCAACGTGAAATGATATTAGCGTTAGCATTAGCATTGTAATTTCTTTCAGGCTACAATTTTTCGCGGAAAACGCTATAAAAAAAAAAAAAAAATTCGCAAAAAATCCCGGCAAGAAATTAAAATAGAACTGATATTAGCGTTAGCATAAGCATTTTAATTTTCTTTCAGCCTACAATTTTTCGCAGAAATCTCTACAAAAATTAAAAAAATTGTCGCAAAAACTCCCGACGTGAAATGATATTAGCATTAGCATTAGCATTTTTACTTTTTTCAGAGTCAAAAACTTCAACGAGTCTCGCTACGCTAACCTCCCCTCGTCCCCTCCGCCCGCGCAGCCTCTCTTCCTCTTCTTAGGCCTTTTCGAGCCAATCCGAATCTTGGAGGTCGCATGACTGCCCCCTAGTGGCTCTACACTACTCACTGTTGGAAGGGGATGAAGTGCTGTTTGTCCTCGTCGTCCGTCTTCCCCTGGGCGACGTCGGTGATGTCCATCACTGTAAACACAGAGGGGAAGAGGGGAGAGGGAGAGGTGAAGTCACCTGTTGCCGGGCGGATCAGCCGATCAACCTTCAGGCTCTGAGTCACCTGTTGCCGGGCGGATCAGCCGATCAAGCTTCATCTCTTCCTTCATGTTTTTTTTTTGTTTTTTGGACTCATTTCTCAAGTTTTATCAAATTTGTAAATGAATCAATACATGAGTCAGCCACTAGGGGCGTCGTACCGGCGACTCCGAACGGCCTCCTCAGCCCCCCCGTGTGCTTCTTGCCCTCCTTCAGCTCCATGCTGCCCACCCTGACGATCTGACAGACCAGGAAGAGACGCTGCCGCATCAACTCGCCGCTGCTCAAGTCCTGGAAAGACACAAATATAACATATAAAACAAAGTCCAAGGACAACCAGCAGGGGGCGGTATGGTGTGAGGAGGTGCGTTAGAGATATTATTCAGACCTACTGCCGCTGCCGGGGGGGGCGTTAGCGATGTTAGGGATGTTAGTGATGTTAGCGAGTTTAGCGGTGTGTGCGATGTTAGTGATGTTCGCGATGTTAGCGTTGGTAGGGATGGTAGCGATGTTAGTGGTGTTAGTGATGTTAGCGTTGTTAGTGATGTTAGTGATGTTCGCGATGTTAGCGATGTTAGTGATATTAGCGATGTTAGCGTTTTTAGCGATATTAGCGATATTAGCGATGTTAGTTATGTTACTTATGTTAGTGATGTTAGCGATGTTAGTGGTGTTAGCGTTGTTAGCGATTTAGTGATGTTAGCGATGTTAGCGTTTATAGCAATGTTAGTGATATTAGCGATATTAGCGATATTAGCGATGTTAGTTATGTTACTGATGTTAGTGATGTTAGCGATGTTAGCGATGTTAGTGATGTTAGCGTTGTTAGCGATGTTAGTGATGTTAGTGATGTTCGCGATGTTAGCGTTTTTAGCGATATTAGCGATGTTAGCGTTGTTAACGATGTTAGCGATGTTAGTGATATTAGCGATGTTAGCGTTGTTAGCGATGTTAGTGATGTTAG